GTCGGGATCCCCAACTCATTCCGCCTAGGAGTGTCTAAAGCAGACCAATGGGCTCGCGAAGGCACTGCTGATGAAGCTGGCGAGGAGAAGGCGGATGACAAGCTGTCCTCAGCCTCATTCTCAACTTCATGGGCAGCAGCTTTCTTGGGCTCAACTTCATCGCCAGGCTTCTTAGGAGGGAAAGGCATCAGAGCACGTGAGGCTCCCTGGGCCAGATGTATGTGAGTGACCTTCACATCGGGGGCCGTCCTGACAGGCTTGCTTTCCGGAGTGCAGATCGTGGTCTCCGTGTTCACGGAGATCAAAGAAGCTGTGCTACCCACGGAGAGCAAAGACGGGCTGCGACGGTCCCGGGGCCGGTCAGGCGTCTCGGAGTCCATGTCGAGAGAAGCAAGATGCAGCAAGAACGTCCTGATGAGCCCGAGTGGCACAGCATGGTGGTGTGCCTTCAACCAGCTCAGGTTCCCTGTGGGTGGCTGAACACTCCGACAATTTGGAGCTTAAATGAAGCAAGCCAGAGATCACACTCGAGGCCCAAACCATAGGCAGTGAAGGCGAAGCCAATGGTCCATCACCCGACAAGGCCTTGTAATGTAATCACACAGACAGCAGCAAGTGGGAGACCCGTCCAAGGACCAACGCAGAGAGAGGCTTCGAGGCCCAGACACCCTCCTTCACCGCCGCGGAAGCGATGACCTGCCGAGCACGGACATGAGCTCTCTAAAGACCCCGACGGCTACAACCCTGAGGTACTACAACCAACACCCCCAAACCCCAAACCCTGCTGAGCTGGCCTCTGGCATTTGGTTTGCAAGCGGGCCAGGAGAATCCTGGCATATGCAAACAGCACCTGGAAGGGGGTCCCTCAGCAACAAGAAGCAGACGGGATGGCAGAGTCCCGGATGTCTGTCAGGGACCTCTTCATGATATGACCTGAGCGGACCATGCCACGACATCTCTAAACTACCCGCGGTGACACGTGAAAGGAACAGCCAGCAGCAGTGCAGAACACTCTTGTATTTTAAATGGCCGAGCAGGGCGTAAGTTTGATGGACGGCGTCCTCTGCCCTCATCCTCATCATCGGAAAACCAGATGGACTTGCCTTTTGGCCTGGAGGGAGGCGACCGCGATCTTCCAGCCGGCGGCCGTCGCGGATTCACCCACTGCTTGGCCCTTTGCTGCCCGCTGCTTGACGGAGCCTCGTTCTGGTCGAACCTGTCGGCCTTCGGCCGCTGCTGCATCCGGTGCGAACTGGTAGGACTCGTAGCAGGGCTCTCGGGAGCTCTGTGCGTAGCCGGGGAGTCCATGGAGGCCGGAACCTGAGCCAAGCCAGAAGTTGCCTGCGCGGATGCCGAGGTGGAGCCCGCCGGTGCTTTCGGGGTCGGCCTCAGCTTAGACTCAGTTGCAGAAGACCCGTGTTTGGCGGCCACCCTGAGGGTCTCCTCAATCTCTCTGTCCAGGGTCGGGACCGGGGCTGCTTCCTCAGACCTTGTGGTGGGCTCGGTCTCGACCAAGACGGTCTCCATCTCCTCAGCTTGCCCAGGTTCAGCATGTGGCAAGGCAGCCGAGTCCGGCAAATCTGCAGCCTGAAGGCCATCCTGGAAGTCGAGGCGCCAGTAGTCAGAGGAAGGTTTAGGGTGGTGGCGCCACCCTAAAAGATAGGGGGCCGAATAGAGAGTCAATGGAGGTGGCCGCAGGCGCCACCTGAGGCGGGGTCCGAATACTGCGTCGTCTGTGGAGATCGCGCCGAGCTCGTCTGCGAGCTGTTCTACGCGGTCACGCGCCACCGTGAACGTGCGGCCAATCGGGTACCCCTCCGACAGGATCTTGACGTTCCATGTCCACCCATCTGAGCAGTGGCCGCCAGGGGCGTGTGGAAGAATCAGGAGTGGTTGGCCAGGAAGACTCCGAAAATGAGTGCCTCCAGTACTATAACACAGAGCACCTGGTCGAAGGGTCGTGAGATCCAGCTCTTGGATCTCGGCCTCAGAGAGGACCCTGGACCGCCTATCGGCACGAGGAGCCATGGCCAGTGCAACCACCTCAGAATGAGCCAGGCACTTCTTGAGCACAAGGTGGCCGGTGTGATGTTCATCGGGGCTGTGCAGCACACATGTCAGCATGTCGATCTGGAGCTGTGCATATGCAAACAGCACCCGAAGTTGGAGAGGAGGGGATAGGCAAATCTGTGAACCCAAGGCTGAGCCACTGACTGTGAGCAGGGGCTTGAGACCCCCTCGGTGAAGCCCGGAAGGCAGACCGGGAGGTATAAGGACACCTGTGCACAGGACCATGTGGACTTAACGGTCGTGCGGAAGGTGCTGGAGAGAGCACCAGCGCGAGCGGAGAGGTGCAGGGTCCTAAGCCATGCAACTGCAGACGCATAGCCGAACTCTGAAGAAGCGCACGTCCTACATATACCCACTGAGTCACTGGCACGGCCTCGCAGATTGGGACAAAGCAGAGGCCAAGGGTACCTGAGGGGTGCGGTGTCTGAGCAGGAAGCTTGCAGCTGCTGCTGTCCACCGAGTGCTGGGAGACGGGCTCTGCCACCAAAGCCGGACCTGAGTCAGGAGTAAGGCCCAGGATAAGCTCCGTGCAGACAGCAGAGAAAGAGCCAGGGCACCAGGGCCGAAGGCATGAAGCGAGCGGTTTGCATTGCTCGGGCTTTGTTTTGCACTGAAGCGACGTCTGTGTCCAATGCGAAGCAACTGTTGTCGCTGCTGGCACGGAAGAAAGGCCTCTGATACAAGCTCGCCTTGCGAAGGTGCACATGATTGCTCAGGCGTCCGAAGGGCTCGTTGGAGGGGGCCCCTTGGCCTTTGCCGCTGCCCACGCTGCACCAGGGGTAGGTGGTCCGCCGTCTCCAGCCGTTGGCGAGAAACTAACCGTCCATCCTGCGATGTGCAGCTGGAAGCCCGCAAACATTGCCCCTATTGCCGGAATCGCCGGTGGGTGGGCCGGCGGGTACCCTTGCTTGGGCGGGACAAAGCTCGATGGCAATGGCATTGCATGTCCCGGAATCGCCGACACTGTGGCCTCTGCCGTGGTCGTTGGAAAGGCTGGTGCCGGCGGCGGAGGACCTTCAGGTCGAAGTACTGCAGGTGCGCGGCTAGCCGACGAAGGTGGCGATGGCAAGGACTGCATCGGTGCCTCCGGCCTTGATGCATCGAGCCTGTCCGGTGGATCATAGCGAACTGGGCGCGGCACAGGAGGTCCAGCAGGAGGCCCAGCATGCTTGGGCACACCATGGTCAACCGGCGCGGGAGGGCCCCTGAGCCTCCTCGGTGCAGGTGGACCCCAGGCACCTTCTTCTGAGGTGCTACTACTTGGTCCCAGCAGATCTGAAGTGTCAGAGCTTCCGCACTCCGCCTCTGCCGCAGCTCCTGGAGGGTTGCCCGTACGTGACCGAGATCTGGCCTTGGGTGCTGCCGCCTTGGCCTTGCCCTTGGCAGTCGACCTTCCCCTCGGAGGCATGGCGTCTGATCAGGATCCCTGTGAGGCACTGCTGAGCCCAATCTGGCAGGGCGACATGTGAATGCTGGTGCAGAGCCGGTTACAGGCAAGAGTGTGCACAGTGCCCTCACATGAGCCGACTGGAGCAAGGCCCCGGGCCGTCCAGCAGATGTCTGAGGTGCACAGGCCCAAGTCCTTCAAGTGCACTAACAGAGCCAGAAGCAAGCAACCAGGCGCGCGAGCCATGGCCTGCTCGCATTTCGAGCACCGATTGATGCGCGAACCTTCAGAACTTCAGGGGGTAAGCCTGGGGATCTTAAACCTACCGTTTTTAAGGGTTCTACTGTACCCTCTAATTAATTATAGTGAGGGGTCATAACCCGCTCTTTCGTAGGGTTTGGGGTCACAGGTTAATCATATACAGCAGCAGTGTATACAGTATTGTAGCACGTCGCTGCAGCCAGTGCAGCCAATTGCGCGACATGGATTTTGTAATACAGCTGTTCCACAAGCTTACGCGGAAGTCTCGAGGTAGCGTATAAGAAGCGTAAAAAATTGCGATTTACCCTCTCTACCACCCCTAAGCCCGAAACCTTAAACTAAACCCTTAACAGCCTGGCCTGTAAATCCGAATCTCCGAACTCCAAATCAGAAACGTCAGAAGCCCCAAAGCTTAAAGCGCTGAAATGCAACAGATCCGGGGCAACTACACCTGCATCCTCAACGCATCGGCTCAACTGAACCTGCCTCTCGAGCGAAGCCATAGTCGCCTTGCTCGCGAACCGCTTTGCCTGCGGATAGCCGAGACCCATGCGAAACTCTTGTTAATAAGAACCCCCCGCCGGGATAGATTAGCGGCGGCCGGGTAATATAGTAATGTATCATGAGACTGAGAGGCGCCGGCCCCCGCCGTATCGACATTAGTTGGTGGGGGGTATAACACTATACCACAATAAAGACTTGTGAGGGGACTGCCTTCACCGAGAGCTCGTAAGTCCACAGACCCCCTCAACCCCGAGCCCAAAAAACATCTCTGAACTGCAGCAAACCCTGAATCCAAAAGCCCTACGTTTTCCGCACACTGCAAAAACGATCTTGATAGAAACCGCGGAACAACCTGAAATCCAACAGTCATCTCCGAGAACAAAACGCGAACCCCTGAAGCCTAAGCTTGAAACCAACCCTCCCAAGTGGACCGAGTTGCGCTGCGGGCTTGGCGTCGGGTTTGGGTTTGCAGGTTTACAGGGCCGGATGGATCGGGATGCTATGTGTAGTTGAAGACCACTGTGCTACATTCGGAGGGCAATACTCCTAGGCTGTCTAGCGTGTTTTCCCGTCCACGTTGCGCCCTGAAAGGAGACTCTTTTGCGAGTCGGACATGTGCACAGCTTGCAATCTTCGCATCTGAAGTGACATGACATGGGCCACTCGTTTCAAGGGAATCCTGGATTGCCTGTGGCTCGAGCCTAAGACCTACGCACCCTACTTTCCGTTCATCATTCAATAACTAGCCACAGGTTCCTTGTCCCTAAAAGGGGCCAGCTTAAAGCTTAGGGCAGGAGGACAGCCCAGCATCGTCAGAAGCCTAAGCATCATCAGCATGCATCCGGAGCAGAAATTCTCGCACTTCTGCCAGTGTAGGCCTGCAACAAGATCGTTAGATCAGGATGGACGGTTACGTTCAAGGTGTCGGGCTTCCCGGGGACTATGCATTATTTTTCATTATTTGTGAATCACAGCCTCACAAGTGTCTCGTCAGGGTGATTCTTGTTGAATCGGTTGTAGACGAAGGTCAACACTGCGATGAGAGCGTCTGCTTCTTCAGGGTTCGTATTCGTACCCCACTTCCTTTGGAAAGTGTCTTGCTCCATGGGATCATCACCTCAGAGTTCGCATCAGCTAGAACCCTTGATCCTAAACCTTAAGCCAACTTAAGCCCTAAGCCCCCCCGAACCCTAAACTTTTAAGCCCATGAATCACCCCTGAACCCTAAAACCCTAAAACCCTAAACCCTAAACCCCAAACCCTAAAACCCTAAAATAACCCTAAACCCCAAAGGGTCGGGCTTTGCACCTGAGGCTCATGTTCGGGCCCGAGTGTTTTCGAAACGCCACGGGTTTAGGGTTTTAAGTTAGGGCTTAGAGGAAACACCTACTCAACCACTGTTTGATAGCAACAGTCTGACAGAGGGAGTGTTCGCGTTGGAATAGCCAATCAATTAAGCGCCAAGCTGCTAGGGTAGCTTGCTTTGTAGCCATACTTCGGGTTGTAGAGCAGCGTGGCTTCCTCCTGCATCTTGGAGCTGCGCAGCATGTCCCTCAAGATATTCGGGGTTTGCCCGGGCTGCCGTGGAGCTGATTCGCGGGCTCTGCGCTCTGCCGGCGCTGCCTCCGACTCCGGCTTTGGTACCGCACGAACCGCAGAGGCCGCTTGCGCCTCGGGGTTCGAAGGCTGTGCAGGCTGTGCATCTTGATCGCGTGACTGCTTGACGGCGCGCTTTCGATCTTGCTCCTGTAGCTTGGTTCTTGCCAACTGCGCAACCTTCTTGAATTCATGGCACTCTCTGTCCTCCTCTGCTAGCTGTGACACGCACTTGAGAATTTCTTCCTCGTTTTCAGACAAAGCCCGAGTGTGATTGAAGCACATGGCAGCCACCATGCGCCTCGATTCTGCAGGCCCCTCTTGCGGAAACAGCGTGCAGATGAGCTTGTGGCAGATGTCCACTTTCAGGACACGGCCCTTCTTCCCAGATCCCTTCGTCGGGAGATCAATCTCTAACATCGCGCACAATTGCTTCAGATCTGCAAGTGTGAGAAACACGCCCTCCCGAAGTGCACCCTCCAAGAGTGGCAGCCCCTCCGCATTCACGATGCGTAGAGGTGATGTCAACTGTCTGTTCAGTAACTCTGTTGGCAGGAAAGCACGCAACGCTGGCTCACAGGGGATGAGTTTCCACGGGCCCCTCAGCTCAAAGCAAGTCAGCCAGACCATGTGTTGCCAAGCTCGCTGCGCCGGCACCGGCTGCAGCACGAGGTAGTCCTGGAGAATGATTACTTGGAGTTACGCCAAGATACGCTAAGTTAGTAACCTGGATTTACACTGCAAGCCACGGGCCTGGTCATGGTGAGTGATTTTTTCCAAGGGATACCCGACTGCAGCCCATTTTCTGAACCCCATGCTGAGGATGTACTGCTCGTCATTTGTGTTCTTGAAGACAGCGCCCAGCTTGAACAAGGATCCTGGCTGAAAGGTATAAACCCTAAGCCCTTAAACCCCTCAAGAAGACTAAGCCCTAAACTTAAATTCCAAAGCCCATAGTTTGAACCCTAAACGCTTCAAACCAGGGTTTAGGGTTTTTTTTGGAGCCCTCCTGTTTGTGCGTCGGGTTCAGGGTTTCGGGGCTTTGGCAATTTGGGCTTCGAGGCTTTTGGGAGGCAGGAAGCTTCCGGGAATTAGGAAGGGCTCGTGGGCAAAAGAGTCGGATATCGAGGCTTTGGGGGATGCGCAACCCTAACAGCCTAAACCAGCTTGAACAAGGATCCTGGCGGAAAGGTATATGCCCTAAGCCCTTTTATACCCCTCAAGAAAACTAAGCCCTAAACTCCAAAGCCCATAGTCCTTACACCTCTGAACCCTTAAACGCTTCGAACCAGGGTTTAGGGTTTTTTTTGAGCCCTCCTGTTTGTGCGTAGGGTTCAGGGTTTCGGGGCTTTGGGCTTCTAGGCTTTTGGGAGGCAGGAAGCTTCCAGGAAGGGTCGGATATCGAGGCTTCGGGGATGCCGAACCCAAACAGCCCTTAAACCCTAAACCGTTTAAGTTTAGGGCTTTTGGGGACTCGGGAGATTTCTGCTTCAGGGATTTGGGGCCTCAGAGGTTTTGGCTCCAGCTTCCAAAGCCCCACCCCAGTGCTAAAGGTTGCGGTTTGGGATGCCACTTTCATTGGGGTTTAGAGAAAACACCCAAGCAACCATTATTTGCGCGCGTAACGATGTAAAGCCCCGAGAACAAGTGAACCTTATGTGTTCTGGAAGAAGCTCAAAGCCCCAAAGCCATGAATTCAGAATGTGCCCGGGGTCCAATCCAGCAGAGGTCCACGTTGGACCAGCGGGTGTCCTTGTCACGGATCAAGTACGCTGCGGCTGCCGCTGCTCTCTGCTGCGCCAGTGGCCCAGAGTTCCGCCACTTGGACTCCTTGATGTTTTTCGGCCGATGTAACACAGCTGGCTTGGGAAGAATTGTCTTCTTGATCGAGAACAAATGATCACTGGCATACGTTCGGTCAGGGATGCCGTTCGGCCCAAGCACCGTGTCGAAGTCTGCTTTGTCAGGGTAAAGTTGAGGGCAGCCGCCCGTTTCAGCATAGGGAGACACGATGGAATAGAGCCATTTGCAGGGGTCCGACATCTTGAAGTTTGTTGAGTGTGTCGCTGCCTTGCGATGCAAAAAGGCAAATGTTGACTCCAGAGTATCCTTTGTGCTGGCAGACCCCATAAACAAGCGCTTGGCAAGCTTCTTCAGCTCGGAATTCGAGCGGTCATAGTCTGACTGGATAAGAAGCGCCATGCTTTCCCGCGCCAGTTGCTGCTTGTTCCACCCGAGGTCAGCCATCAGCGACGGCCAGGCTGCGTCGGCGCAGCTGCGCCCCTCAGCGTCCACAATTGTGGAGATGAGGGATCTGGCATGGGCCATTGCAGAATTCATTTCCGTGGGGTCATGGCAGTTCACTGTTGCCACCAAATCAGGCATTGCCATACTGTAATGAGCGTTGCTCCACCAGATATTGGATGCTAGGCAAGTCGCGAATTTGCGGCATGTGCGCAACAACTCCAACTCCTTCTTTGCCCACGCCGGCAGCTCCTCAGGGGGTGCTCGACGAGCAGCGCGTGTCATGCGCAAGGCATTGTGCAGACCCGACAACTCTGTCTGCACTGTCGCCAGCACAGCGTGCACAGTTCTGACGTACTGTCCCAGGGACCGATCTGCGGCGAAGGTGGCTTGAGCATGCCATCCAGACGAGGCCGCTTTGAGAGCTTTGTAGTAGGCGTCCTCCAGAGGCTGCGAAATGTGTACAATCAACTGAGCGACCTCTTGCAAGTACTGATCTCCCATGAACCCTGCAATCATTTTGGTGGGGCCCTTTGTGTTGAAGATGGCATAGATTTCTTTCCTGGGTCGGCGGTTGACACCATGAGAAAGACACTGGGTTCTGAATGAGTTACTTGGGATGGCCAGTCACTATGCAAAACAAATGCATACATATATATATATATATATATATATATTATATATATATATAAAAATACCAAATGCAAGCCTAATCTCTTGTTCCGAGGCTCCTTCTCTTTGGGGCCCGCTGCTTCCTCCTCTTCATCATCCTCTTCTTCACCAGGCTGCCTTGCTTCGTCTTGCTGGTCGGGATCAGCATCATCCCCCTCGGTAGACAAACTCCCCCCCAGCCCGAAACTGCCGGAAAGTCATTTTGCCAGTTGTTCCCAACGTGTCACCTTCGGCCCGGCCCGTCGCCGCAGCTTCGTTACTAGACCCTGGGGCAGCCCAAAAGGACAAGGTCTTCTCATGCCATGTGCTTGAAATTTCATGTGAAAACAGAGCACAGAGCACGACTGCAAGATCATAAGATCTGTTTTTGTCTGAGCGGCCAGGTGCCGAAGAAGCGCGTTGAGAGCCTCCTCTTGAACGGTCCAGTCGACCAAGAGATCTCGAAGGCAACTCTGCAATCCAAACCAAGCTTTCTGCTTCACCTGGACTTCCCATTCTGAATTCTTGGGCTCTGGCTGTTCTATAAAGTCTACTGGGGAGCTGGCTGGTTTGGGGTTTGAGAGCAAAAGTTTGGACTGGAGCCCAGCTGCATACTGGCCCCGGTTTCGGAGAGCACGTGTGTTCATCCAGTCTGACATGCAGTCTGCAGGGTCAAGGTCAGGATCGTAGAGTTCCCCTCGGTCGTTGGCCACACGCTCGGCGAAGGATTCGAAGTATTCATGGGGTTGTTGTTCCAAGTAGGCTTCGAAAGCATCACGTTTCGCCTCCAATTTATCTCCGGATTTCCATGCCCCATGATCAAAATTACCTTGGGCTGTCTAGGTTGGACAATATTACATTCACACCAAAATCAGCGAACTCTGATGCTGCGCGGAGGGCTGCGGGGAGAGTATCCTAAGAATTGAGCCCCAAGCCCTTGTTGATGTTCTGAACCTTAAAATCCTAACTAAGGTTTTCTTAAGGGCCTAAAGCTACGCTGCCCGAGAAGACCCTACATTCCTGTTAGGCGGCAGATCAGTGACAGCTTCATCACTGGTATCACCAACGAGGCCGCGGCAATCGCCTTGCGAAATGCGTTCCAAGCAGGATGCGATGTTTCCGATTCCGAGTAGCCGCGAAGGTGTAGTTTTTCCCAGCCATAATTAAAAGCCTTGTGTTGAACGCCCTCGTCGTCTGCCACCTCAGTCACGACAGGGGAAGCAGCGGCACACGTCCATACCACAAACACTGCACCAAAGACGCGAGCTTGAGGATGGGCATCTCATCCACGGGCGTGACCTCGACAGTCTTGAGGTCTTCTTTGCCTGGTGTCAGCACCTTGGAGGGTGGGACGGCAAAGTATGCAAGGCTCTTGCCGGCCATCATGGTTAGGATGTGGTTGACCGTCTTCAAGATCACCTTGGTGCAGATTCGCGGGTTTCCAAATAAATAATATAATGTCAGTCACGCAGCATTCTGTTCTACACCCTACGGCGTACTGAAGCGTGGGGACCGGGCAAAGAACAGGTTGCTTTCTTTGTTGGTCACCGAGGGCCTTCGTCAGAGACAGTCAAGGTGTTACACGAACCAGACCTAGAATCTGCGACACCGCACAAAAGAATGTCGAACCCCGTGGGCGCACACCGCACACCCTGTCGATCCCATTGAAACACCCAAATAAATTTCCACCCTTGAACTTCGTATCCCTGAGCTGCAGGTGGTCTAGCCTCCAGGCGCTCGATCCATCCAGCTGCTCGTCGAAAACTTTCTTGAGGACCTGAGCGACAACTATAGGGCGTGCGGCTGATGTTAGACAGTACTACATTCGCTTGCTGCTTGCATCTGCTCACCACGAGCAACCTGGGCGCCGTTTCTTTTGTCTGTCACGTGCTCCGAAGTCGGGAGCGGGTCTCTCTGCACAATAGAAGCTCTGGGAAGACTTGAAGATGCAAGCAACTTAGTTCAGAGGATGTCTACGGTGAACATGCAGCCAACAAAAACCCTTGGGTCACAGTTGCCTTGGCATCTGGGATTTTAAAAAGCAGAGGAAGCGTGCCCCAGACATCGCCTGAAAGGCAGGTTGCCGTAAGAAAGGCAGCGTAACGTATGACCAGAATGTAATGCCACGAGTTCCGTAAGAACCTAGTAAGGGGGTTAGGGGGTTTTTAGGGGGTGATAGGGGTTTAGGGAGGGGTTTTGGAGTTTATAAGAGTTTAGGGGTTTAGGGTTTATAATACGGGTTTAGGGTTTCTAGCGGTTTGGGGGTTATAGGGGTCTAGGGTTTAGGGGATCCTCTCCAGTACTGCCTAGACTACGATATATCTACATGGGCTTGCCTGCTGCGTCGGTGCGGCAACACTGTCACTGACACGGAACGACATTGAGTCAGTTCGGGCGCCTACAGAATCAGGCCGGGCAGTCCATCTGTTCGGGTTTTAGACTGCCAGCGATGATGTAACGGAGCGTGCCTCCACTGATGCTGATGCCTTCTGATCATGAATCGCAATAATGCTCTAGCTGCAAAGCATTCAAATCTGCAAACCGTGGCGGTTTCCTCCTTAGTTCCTCCTTATTGTATTCCTCCTTATGTTTCCTTTTTTCTTATAATTGTGACTCGAGTTTCCCTTTTGTTTTCTTCATTGTGCCATTCCCCTAACTTCGTCTTCCCTTCCTGTCCGCTTGTTTTGTCCCTTATCTTTTCACGTATTTTTCGATTTCAATACACACATGAGGCAAGCGAAGCGTCCGGGGCCTGGAGGGGCCAAACCCTTTTGCGGCAAAAAAGCTGCCGGAGGCCAGGCCGGGGAAGTCGAATCCCCCCAGGCTCAGGGCGCCAACTCCAACGGGCCCAGAGCCGTGCCTCCAGGCAAAAAAATAGTGAAAAATAATGGAAAATAAGGAGAAACTAAGGAAAAAAATAGTGAAGAATAGTGAAAGATAAGGAGGAAATAGTGAAAAAATAGCGAAAAATAGCGAAAATAAGGAGAAAATGAGGAAAAAATAGTGAAAAATAGTGAAAAATAAGGAGGAAATAATGAAAAAATAATGAAAAATAGTAAAAAATAGTGGAAAATAAGGAGAAAATAGTGAAAAAATAGCGAAAAATAGCGAAAATAAGGAGAAAATAAGAAAAAATAATGAAAAATAGTGAAAAATAAGCAGGAAATAGTGAAAAAATAGTGAAAAATAATGAAAAATAGTAAAAAATAGTGGAAAAATAAGGAGGAAATAGTGACAAAATAGCGAAAATAAGGAAAAAAAAGGAGAAAATAATGAAAAAATAGCGAAAAAAATAGCGAAAAATAGCGAAAATAAGGAGAAAATAAGGAGAAAATAATGAAAAATAGTAAAAATAGTAAAAAAATAATGAAAAAATAGCGAAAAAATAGCGAAAAATAGCGAAAATAAGGAAAAAATAGTGAACAAATAGCGAAAAAATAGCGAAAATAAGGAGAAAATAGTGAAAAAATAGTGAAAAAATAGTGAAAAATAGTGAAAAATAATGGAAAAATAAGGAGGAAATAGTGGAGAAATAGCGAAAAAATAGCGAAAAATAGCGAAAATAAGGAGAAAATAAGGAAAAAATATTGAAAAATAGTAAAAATAGTGAAAAAATAGTGAAAAAATAGCGAAAAAATAGTGAAAAAATAGTGAAAAATAGTGGAAAATAAGGAGAAAATAATGAAAAATAGTGGAAAAATAAGGAGGAAATAGTGACAAAATAGCGAAAAAATAGCGAAAATAAGGAGAAAATAAGGAGAAAATAATGAAAAATAGTGAAAAATAAGGAGGAAATAATGATAAATAGTGAAAAAATAGCGAAAAATAATGAAAATAAGGAGAAAATAGTGAAAAAATAGCGAAAAATAGTGAAAATAAGGAGAAACTAGGAAAAAATAATGAAAAATAGTGAAAAATAAGGAGGAAATAGTGAAAAAGTAGTGAAAAATAAGAAGGACATAGTGAAGAATAGTGAAAAATAAGAAGGAAATAGTGAAAAAAATAATGAAAAATAGTGGAAAATAAGGAGAAAATAACGAAAAATAGTGAAAAATAAGTAGAAAATAAAGAAAAATGCACAAAGATAAGGGAACTAAGAAGAAAATAATGAAACAAAATAAGGAGGAACTAAGGAATTGACCGCCCTCTACCGCTTCTGGCTATTTAGTACGTAGGATTTCTTGTATCAGAAGGCTCTTATGGGGCGTCGTCATCGGCATCCAGGTCGCACATGTTGGCCGCCAGGCTCGGCGACAGCGCTGTGGTCTTTGCACGTTTTGGCTGATCTTCCTTCTCCTTTGCCGTGCACTTGTCGTCCTTCTCTGCCTCCTTGGCCTCGCGCTCTGCCTTCTCCTTTGCCTCACGCTTTGCGTGCTCCTCGCGATTTGCCTCCTCCTTTTCCAAACGCTTGGTCTGCTCTTCCTTTTCCTGGGCCTCGCGCTCTGCCTTCTCCTTTGCCTCACGCTTTGCGTGCTCCTCACGCTCTGCCTCCTCCTTTTCCAAACGCTTTGTCTGCTCTTCCTTTTCCTTGGCCTCACGCTCCTCCTTCTCCTTCGTCTCCCGTGCCTGCTGATCTGCTGTAGTTGCAGTCGCAAGTCCTGCTGCCATCGTAGCTCCTGGGCCCTGTGGGTGCTGAGCAAAGAAAGTCATCATCGAGCTTAAGAGTTGACCCATGTGCTCTGGGGGAAAACCGGGCGGAACCGGCGGCACAAATGCCGCCAATGACTGCTGCTGCGTCGTCACGGCAGCGGCTGGATTCTGCGTCTCCGCATTATCCGCTTTCTCCGCCTTCTCCGCCTTCTCACGCTTTGCGCGCTCCACTGCTGCCAACCGCTCCGCTTCTGCTTCACGCTCTGCACGCTCCCTAGCTGCCCTAGCTTCAGACTCACGCTGTTCACGCAATTGCTTCTGCACCGTCGCACGCTTGACAGCCTCCTGGCGACAGGAGGCTTGATGGTTTAACGTGCAAAAATATACTAAGGAGTATATATTATATCGGTATGTCCGCACCGAGCAGAACCAACCCTAAACACGAAACCCCTAAACCCTAAACCCTTAAACCCTTAAACCCTTAAACCCTTAAACCCTAAACCCGAAACCCCTGAACCCTTAGATATTAAACCTCGAAAAAAAAACCCTAAATTGGCCTAAACCCTAAACCCCCGAAACCCCTAAACCCTAAAAAAAAAACAGCCAAATCCTAAACCGCTAACTCCCAAGCTCAACACTTGTAGTCAAAATACTTACCTAGGGATCCCAAACCCCATAGAATGTTCCTCAAATCCGAAATGCTAAGCTTCTTTTCGAGCCCAAGGACACCCCTGCCCTCCCAACCGGAGTTTAAGTTGAAGGTGCAGGGTATTAGGTTTTTGGGCCTCGTGCGTTGACACGTGCTTCTGGGCGGCTTCCTTCCGGGCGGGATCCGTGATGTCCTTGCTCTTCCTGACAGCCACTTGTCAAGGAATTCACAAAAACAGATGAACTGCAGGCAGGGTCTCCTGCCAGCCATCAGGACATCACAATGGCGTGGACGCTCAGCGGTATCGCAGCCGAGGACATAGTTGATCTTGCCACCGACCCATTCCTGGGCCACTTTCCAATCGTCCGAGCCACCGGCCTTGTCCACGCCAGGCAGAGCGAGCTCTCGCATCTGCTTCGCATCCAGAAGCCATTGCTTGCCATCCTGGGTGAAGACAAACGGCATCAAGGGCGGCGGGTCCTTCTCCTGCCAAAAGCAAACGGAAGCAGCTGCAGCATAGTACAAACGCACCACAAGCCCTCCTCTGCATCTGCGAAGCCAGGGGACTCCGAACTGGAGCCGCCAAATTCATCATCGGGCACGGCGGTGGACCCACCCGGATGCCCAGTGGACGATCTGGGTCCTTGTACACACGACAGTTGAATGAGAACGCTGCCTGTCTACTTCGAGAAATGCAAATTGCTCTACTACCGCAGCAATGTCCTTTGTCCGCAGGCTCCGTGGCCTTATTGCGTGCCTGTGCCGCTACCGCTTTCTGCTTGCCGATGTGGGCATCTTTCTCAGCGTGCAGGAGCTGAGCCATCACTTCTGAGCACTCCTCCCCATCCATGCCTCCGTCCTCGCCCTGCCAGAGGAAGTCCTTCTGGCCGTCGTCCTCCTCTTCCACATAGATCTCCCACGGATTGCCTTTCTCCGGGGGGCCCAGCTCAACACTCTTGCTCTGCTCATCCAAGCGCAGAATCCACACAATGCCCTTGCCCTTCACCTTGCGCTTCTCGATGCAGTACCCCGAGTCGGGCAGCTCATCGTCATCGTCGTCCGCGTCACCCTCCTCCTCTGACGCCTGTGCCTGCAAGCCAGAACAAAACTAAACTTTAATAATAAGTCCAGCACTACTCCGAGAAAACCACCCCACCACCACGCCCCCCCCCCCCCCCCCCNNCCCCTTCCCCCCCCCTCCCCCCCCCCCACTGAAATGCCTACCGTTGGACCATGCTCACTATAGAACACAACTGGCCTCCTCCGCCAAGTGGGCCTTGACCCAGTCGGGAAGGGGCGCTGGTCCGCCCGTGGCCGGTGCAGCAGGGAGCTCGCTGGCAAAAGGCCCAACATCTTCATCATCATCTGCCGCTGCCCATCTGGCTGTCATGTAAGCCCTGATGTCAGACACAGACCTTGGCTACAGTCATGCTGTGTATCAGTGAGTGCAACACCTGGCTGCTGTCTTTTGAACCAAGGTTCCAAGCCGTGTGGTGCAAAGGCGAACCGCGGCGAATGTACTCGTTCTTGGCGGCCCGGAGCATATCAGCTTTCACACGCCTGAGTTGAGTCGATGCTTAGATTTCCAACGTCGGGGGTTTGGAGAGTTTAGCGGTTAAGGGTTTTGTGGAAATTGGAAACACTGGACTGGTAATTTAATTGCACAGGGGATACTCGCAAGGTTCGTCTTGAGCTTGCCAGCCAAAGCAAAAGGCGAGCAGGATGAAGTGCGTGTCTCGATCCATTTTCTTCGTGACAGATTTGTTGAGGAGGATCGGCTCGATTTCTGCTAGCCAATCTGCAAAATGGCAATTCTTAGCAGGCGCACTCTATAGGAACTACAGACCATCTGCAAGCGACTCGGGCGCACGTGCAGTGAGCGCACACGCACACACATACACACAGACACACATAAGACCTAAGAACGACGCCGGCATCTTGCCCAGGCTGGCGTGGTTGTAATACTCTGTGGTAATCGTCCGGCCATGACCTTGACTTGAATGACGAATGGAGCTATTCTACTATAATTTAATACTGGCAATGTGTGGGGTCGGCTTGTGGCACGGGATTGTTAAGGGCTAGAACGGCTAGAAAACTTAATAATACTTTAGTAACAGCTAAGGTACTGGACACAGGTCCTTTAGGCGCGGGTGCTGCTTTCCGCTTGGGCTCCGCTGCAGCCTTCGTCTTCGCACTGGCTTTGGGCTTTTTCTTCGGGGTTGCCTCCTCCTCCTCCTCATCATCATCATCTTCTGTCTCCGCAGCGGCTCGCTTGGGGATTTTCTTGGGAGCTGCCTTGGCTTTTTTGGGGACCTTGGAAGGTTTCTCCGGTTGCTCGTCATCATCTGCCTCGTCATCCTCCTCCGGCTCCGGGTCGAAGCGCTTGGAGGTTTTCTTTGGGGCTGACTTGTAAGCGGGCTTGGTGCCCTTCCTACCAGCTGGAGGCTTGTCGGCGTCGTCTTCCGGGTCCAGACCAGGATCCACGCCGCCTGGCCACCGAATTTTGGGCCTTGGATTGGAATGTAAAATCATCGTTTCAATCTGGCAGTTTCGTGCACTGTCTGTAGAAGCAAGTCAGACAACGTAACTCGCAACTCAGACTCAGCTAAGTGACCCTGCTTTGCGCATGCGTGTTGAGGGTGCCACCTGCTCTGGAGCGGTGTCCTCTTCGGGCGCTCCCCGCTTGTTCGAGCGCGGACCCATGATTGATGCCTAGCGGAAAAATCTTCACGCAGATGAGCCTTGACTCAGGATCAGCAACGACGTGTTGCTCAAGCGGTGCAGCAAGAGACAAGGTGCAACCCAAGCAGCAGGTTTGTGTATTGACGATTTGATTTTGTTCTGTCACCAGCCCAATCGACGGAAATTGTGTCAGTGCGGCCCAGATATCGTCTTATTTACAGCTTACACGAGCAGCTGGGCGGAAACAAGATAACGCTACAAGCTGCACCACTCCTACACTGGACCAGTGCATGGCATTGCCGGCAATCCTAGAAGCTCTGTTGGAGTCTAGGATGGGAAGCTCTGGCACCATCATTGCACGTGCTGTAGCCTTGGTGACCGGGAAGCCCAATGTCGCTAGGAGCTCGCGGCTCGTCATGCACCGCTTCCGCTTCGGCGACCACAGGAGCCCAGAGCTACGCTTCAAGGTGGGCACGGAATTTGAGGGCGCAGACCAGGTTCGATATGCCGCGCTGTCCCCCAAATGGTAGACGAGGTTGGCGTCCAGGTTGGGGTCGGCATTGTACCGCTTCCGGTACTCCTTGTCGAGTTCTGCAACCACTTTCTTTTCCCTGGCGTTCAGGATGAAACTGCAGTCCACGTGGCTGGCATCTCGGCGCAGCTTGTCCACGGCAGCCTCGGGGAAAACGTGAGTACGTATATCAGACAACCAATCAGTCAAGCTACACACTGCTCACGCATGTACTGTAAGATGACTCGCTGCAACCTAGGTGACAGCTGTCAGATGCCGCTTCCGTTTCCGACAGATGGCATCCATGTGCAGGTGGATGTCTGTGTTGGTTGCCACAAAGTAGTCCTTCGGCGATGTTGCGACTCTGGTAGCAATCGCCTGTGCAATGTTGTCGTAGAGATCCTGGGGGTTGTGCTGCAGGCTTGTCTGCTGTTTGTGTGCAAGGATGACGTACACTCTGTCACGTTTGGCGCCGGCATGGCCCACTGCTTCAGTGCTGCAGTGAAGGATGTGCAGCGTGTAGTGCTCCCCGAACATGGCCCGCAGCATCTGTATGCGGAGGAACTTGCAGGGAAAGTGAACATTTCTGAAAGCCAGCTTTGTAATACACAGGCAACTCAACACTCAATATTCAATCGATAAGTCAGTATTAAAAGGGTGGCGTGCAGGGTGGTGTCGGGCGACGTGGACCTGACTGACTACGTGCGAGGCGCCTTCGTGTTTTCAATGATGATCAGCGGAGTCCTCTTCTCGACGTGCCGTTTGGCATGGCATATGAAGACGGAGGCTGTCCGCCCCTCTTCTTTCAGTCTCTTTCCAGCTGCCGACATGTCCCAACACGGGAGGCCAGCCACTTCCAGGGTTGCGTTCGTAGACTTGCCGAACAGAGGACAGTCTCTGCCATGAGTGAAGCAGTATTGCTTCTGCTTCAGTGGCGCATCGTCCAAGTCACGCAGCTTTTGCATAAAACTGTGCTCCGGGCAGTAGCTGTTGGGCGGAACGCAACTCTCCAGATCAGAAAAGACACATGGCGGCTGGCAGGACCTCCCCGTGGCTCTGCGCAGCCAAGCGAAATGATCCACGATGAGCTGGCGGCATGTGGGATCCCATTCCTGTGGTAATGATTATACTATGTAGACAGCAATAATTCATACACTGATCCCATGCAGCAGCAAATAAGTAGTTGAATTTCGATTCAATAGCCGAGTATCGTGGCACGAGACTGGCCTGAAGCTTACGGGTCGCTTCAGCTTCTGGGAGGCATTGATGATGTTCTCCAATGACCCCAGAGCCAACTCGGCAGTGAATGCACCGGTGCAGCTTGAAGATGTAGTGTGCCCTCGCGTGAGAAAAGACTCCTGGTCAAAGAGTTTGCAACTGCAGGTAACCCGGGGCTCGGAAGGCACCGGGGTCCTCCAGATTCCGAGTCCCCAGAACGTCGCAAACCACGAACCAGGCAATCTGGATTGCCCTAGCGGCTCTCGCGAGCATAGAGGTATCTCGAGGTAGGTCCTTGATTGATGCACGACTTTGGACCGGCCTAGAACGACTGACTAGGCCACGCTGTACTGCCGACTGGGCTCCAAAGACGGGTTGGAACTCACCGAACTATTCTGGGTCCAAGGTAGACCTCCTTCTGAACTTTCACGGTCACGCATTGTAATGTCGTCCATGCTGCTGCGCATGGAAAGACAAAGAGCTATCGCCCTGGAATTCTAGCCGGTTCCAGGCGGCAACTCAAATAATTGTGCGTTGCAGGCTGTGGTATTTTGGTAAGTGAATGAGATCATTGCTGCTGGGCAACTGATTGACTAGGACTCTGGCATGTCCATGTGCGACGCTGCGGGCACGCCCAGATGATCACACGCAAATCTTGCCATGCTGGCTGCTGCAAACATTACTGGATTCTGAGATTCTGCAAACGGACACCATCAAAGGATTCTGAGAAAACGGCAACTGGAGGCGCGTAGCACCCGCGAAGGATCTCCGGGCACCAGAGATAGGCCAATTCTGTGGGTTTTTTGGCTATGGACGATCCGTCCATAAAAACCTGAGCCGCTTGCAGCATTGCATGGCTAATAATTCTGAACTAGGAGCATGATCCGATATGACGGGGCTCCTGCGTGAAAGACTTTCAAAGGAGCCAGCTCAGCGCGACAGCGGCACCAGTATACTACCTGATCTGTCCGTGGCCCAGTCTCTGAGTGCACAGCCCCTCTACGACCCATCCAAGCCCCAAGCCACGCGCTGCGACAATAACCCTGGTCCGTCTAAGCCCAGCAACGGTCACCTTCCAGGCAAACGTGCCGGGCTTCACATGCCCGAGGTCGTACTTCTCCAGAATGTCATGGATTGTCGCTCCATTGTCCTCCTGGGCTGAGGCATGGGAACAGATTACACTTCGGATTCTAGCACCGGAGCAATTAGTTAACTACTCTGTCCAGGAGTCGTTGTCGAAAAGGTAGTGCATGCCTGCGGCTGTCACCGCGTGACGCAGAGCAACCTGCTGCCGCGCACGATTCTTTTCCATGCCCTTCCCATAGGCCAACGATTCCAAGGACAGTTCTGGGATCTTGCTGTCGATCAAACGCACAAATTGGCGCAGCAAGCCCAACGCCAAAGGCCTCACCAAAGAGAAGGCACTAGCGTGCTGGTCATTCCTTTTTGGGCTCATTCCGAACAATATAACATCTACCAGCGACGGTCTCTGGAAATCAGAAGTGAGGACTTCTGCGTCGCGCAGAAATTTCCACGCTGGTCGCAGTCTGGCACGAACAGCTGTTGCCCAAACGTCATCTGCAGAAAAAGTTCCTCCAGGATGACGCACTTCTCTGGAAACAGACTCACGGGAACCGACAGCCTGCACATCGAACTCCAAAGAACCACACCCTTCAAGGCAGTGCCACACCAGGCGTGTAAAGCATGCCCTAGCAAGGTTCCTTTCTGTGTCTTGTCGCTTGGAGTGAGAGAACCCCCAGGCAATCCATGACCATGCTACAGTAGTTGGCAGACTTCTTTCCTTCAAAAAGAATGGTTGCTTCGTTGCGCCGGTGACCCCCTGCTCGGCCTCATGTTTCGTCAGCAGCAGGGCTGGAAGTGGTGATCCGGGGAACACTTCACGATGAAACTCGGCCACTTGGGCCGTCTTGGTGGCATCGCGACAGTGAGCCGTTGCCTTGTCGACGTTCGCTGTACTGAACAAATTAAGTAGCAGATCACCTGCTACCCACTGTCTCGGCACCCCAGTCCCCTCGGCAGAAGTAACCGAGATTGCCGGCTCTCCTGGAAGCAGAGCGGTAAACAAACTTACGCCTGCCATGGGCCTGGTGTCAGGAATCGATGCACTTCATTCTCCCTGCGCCTGTCCTGGCGATGAAACTTAGAAGAGAAGAAGTCAATTGCGTATTCCAATAACACTGCACAATCATTGACATGACAAGACTGTACCGTCATGATGTCATTGCATGGCTCTTTTCATCTCGCTCGGGCCACGCGCACAAACATCCCCGATGCTAAATAAACCTAGCGGGGTGACGATGGAAATTGCATTATTCATTTTCTGGGTCCACTGACACATGAAGGGGTCATGCTCTCAGACGGGCTTCCGACCCCCCCCCCCTGGAATTGCGGCCGAGTGAGCAGTGAGAGCGAGAGAGAGAGAGAGTCAGTGAGAGTGAGAGAGTGAGAGTGAGAGTGAGAGTGAGAGTGAGAGTGAGGGAGACAGAGACAGCAATCGACCGCACGGCGCCACTGCCTTTCTTCGCCAGGGCCCACCCCAAGCAGCGCCGTCCTTCCCACCTGGGTCACGGCGAAGGGTTAGGGCTTAGGACACTCAAAACACAACCCCAACACTTCAATGCATTCTAGTTACGGAAACCACGGCTTCAAGAAGGCAGCAACTAGACCGAGCCCCAGACCGCCCAGACCCTCGAAGAAAATGACGATGGATGAAGAAGTCGTAGTCAATGGCCTGAACACAAGGGCGAGGGGCCGGGGTTTCCGGTGAAAGGTGGGGGGGCAGGGCACTCTAGCTTTACGGGAGGGGCGGGGGCAGCAGCAACAGGCACTCCTGCGCGCACACGGACACTCAAACCCCAAACCCCGAGTCCGAAACACCCCCGAAAACCCCCTGCTTCTGTGTCTCGGGCGCAGCCGGTCGGTGCGTGGCACCTGATGCGGTTTGGGGGGTTTCGGGATTTGGGAATAAGGCTTAGGGCTTTGGATTTTAGGTTTTGGGGCAATTTGGGGGTTTGGTGTTTTTGGGCTTGCCCCACTCCAGTGTCCTGTCACGAGACGGATCGACACGGCCAAACCCGCAACATACCGGAACACACTGATCCCTGCTTGCCGGCACCAGCCTTCGGCATCCCACGGTCCAGGCCATTGTCCGGTCGCCCCAATCCAGTGTCCTGTCAGGAGACGGATCGACACGGCCAAACCAGGAACATCCCCGAACACACTCATCCCTGCTTGCGGGCACCAGCCTCCGGCATCGCAGGATCCAGTCCATCGGTGCCCTGTCACAACACGACCAATCCCGAACATCCGTGCTTGCCGACTTCGCGAATATCCTGCAACAATCGTCACTGAGCATCGCACCGAAGACCCATAGGAGTGATCAGCATGTCGAAGCGATGCCGCAGCCTCGGAGTCGCAGCAAAGACAGACACAGACACACACACACACACAGAGACACACACACAGACACCCAGAGACACAAGCACCAGCCAAGCCGGCGAGACCCATTACACCACACACCCCAGCACAGCACTACCCCCCCAAAACCAGGAACCCAGCCGAGCCAGGTAAGGACGAAGCTGACTCGTCGCCGAGATGTGCACTCGAAACCTAAGGCACAGCAAAACCACCCGTGCACCGTACAGGTAGTCTAAGCTGAGGCACAACGAGAGCAACAGCAAGGAGAGCTCACCGATGCTCACCGACGAAGTCCAAGGTCCCGGCCGTGTTTTG